CAACATATTCTTGCGAGTAGCAACCTAAGGAGAAGTTGCCGCATATTAGGGAAATGATCCGTCCAGTTTTGTACCCTAGACAAGTGAGAAAATATTGTGAAGAAATGGTCAAATCTGTAGATTATCCCTAGAAATCCGTAGATTTTCATTCGTAATTATTAAGAATGTTTCTAAACTTAAATATATTGTTTTCGGATACGAAGAATTAAGCCATCATTACTTACTCACTATTTGCAAACTAAATACTCAGATTGCAACTCCAAAAATCAGACTTTTTTCAACGTCTGCTCGAAAATAGAATAAGGGTCCAGAAAATTTTATTCCAGTGTTTCTATCATCATGTATTGTATTGTAAAATGAAACGAATTTCAAAATCGGGGGAGATTTTGAATTCACTTTGCATTTTTAAACTTGGTACCTAGTACCTACTCTAATACCCGAACGATAAAAGACTAAAGATAACAAACTTAATATAATTGTGTTATAATGTAACATTAATTAAAATCGTAATCAAACCACGTAAGTATTATTCAACAGGAAATAGAGGAAATCATCATTGACAAGAACTACAAAAATCTTAGGTTGCATTGATAAAACGCTTGGATTAGTTTATCTGCTATCCTAGGTATATGTATAAGGAAACTCATGTATTTAGAAAAAGATGTTTGGATATCATTGTTAATCTTACATCTAATTACAGATTTGTAACAACAAGCTTTATCATCCAATTTGTTAGGAGATTTAAGTCTTACAATTAATTTAAAGCCAATGTTGATCTGACCTTCTAATCACAAAAGTGTGTAAATTGCATTATTGGTTTTAGTTTTCATGGTAAGTTGGTTGTTGAATAAAAAAATCTCCAACATAGAGTTCAGAAGAATCTCAGTGTGCAAGGTTTGTCTCAATAAATTCAAAGTCCAACATGTTGGATTTAGAGCCTGTTATATGTATAGTATAGGTTTTAGAAAATTCACAAAATATATCCATAAGTTAAAGGAATCCTAAATAGTTATTAGTTTACAGAAAAAATATCTAATATTACATTGCAAATAAATAACTTATTTATTTCAGACTGCTGTGTACATTGAAAGAAAAGTGTTCAGCTTCTGGATGGTTCAGCGCCAACGCACTCTCGTGGAATGATAGAAGATTGACTATTTTGCAAATCAATATTTAGTCATACAACTGACGAAGGATAATGCAAAATTTGTTTGCAACGAAAAATGAATATTTAGATTAAGATGAATGCGTTGCCAAAAACGTTACTAAAGAGAGAATAAAGCGGACAGACTGCTGTGATCTCAGTAGCGACTGGAAAATGTGTCAGGTTGTTACTTTGGTCTCCTCGGATGTGTCAAAACAGTGGTGCTCTTGGCAAAGTAGACACATTCTTACATCTATCGACTTCCTACTAGTATGAAAGAGTTTTTACATTATGCTAAATAATAATGTTAATTAAATAATAATCTAACGTAATGTGTTTTGTATACCATTTTAAAGAGGAAAAGTTCCTCTTCACGATGGCATAAAGATTCCTCCTTTCCATAAATAATCCTTCCAAGAAATTTTGGAGTTTAGATGTCGCATTATTGTATTTACATTATGATAAATAACAAGCTTAACTTCCGATTTTTTTTGTTAATAAGTTTAATAATCTAATCTAATGTGAGTTCGTTTTAAAGAGGAATCCTTCATCTTCAACCTTGTATAAAGATTATTTCTTCCTTTTCATAAATAATCCTTCTAAGATGTCTCATTGGTGAATTAACAACACAATTTTTACATATTTAGTTGAAGACTTGAAAGCCAATAGAAAACTAAATCGAAAAGATGTCATAAGTAAACAGCTAAAAAAGGAGAAATTGTTGTTACCGAATGTGATATTAGTTAGTGTGATTGTTCAAAACTGGAAAGATAAATGTAATGTTTGTATTCTAAGCATAAACATATCGACGAATTACAAACAGGGATTAAGTGCTAACGAAAGCTATCGATTGAACTGATTAGGGGGCTGGTCAAATAAACGCTTACATTCTATACGAAGGAGTGACAAATGAAAAATGTTAATCACATCCTTCAAGAAACAAGTTGAAAGTTTACAAAACTAGAACTGCAGAAAACGATAAACAAAGAAATATATCCTAGAACATATGTGGAGTCAAAAACGTCATCGATGAGTTGTATGCTACACACCACTATTCAAAACGGCTTGACAACACGCACAATAAAGACCTCCTCAATCAAGATACCGCTATGAACAATGTAAAAAATATATACTATTTGTGTTGTTTTTTTCAAAGTTTATAATAGTAAGTTCATGTATACATAATGAAATGAAAATTTACGGTGTTTTTTATATATAATTTATCCTTGTTATTATTGAGATAAAATTTAATCTTTTAATACGTTAAATTATTTAATTAAATAAATATTATTTTATTTAGTATTTATTATTTACAAACCATAAACACTTCCAGCCGTAAGATTCACAGTAAACATAGGCCGCGATTTACACTTACGATTAACATTGCTCTACGAATCGCACCTTAGTTTTTACAGCCAAAATAATCCGCAGAGCTAAAAAATCATTTGGCATTTCTAATGATTCTAGCGATCATATGTTCAATGTGTTAATAACACTCTGTTTGCAGTAGAAGTAAGCAGCAAGGTTTGACTGCATCAATGTATCATAACCAACATAAATTACTCCTACTAATTCTGAAGTATTGCTTTTTGATATGCTGCCTCAAGTACTTCAGCAACGGAAAATTAAAACATTGATGTGCGATTTGTAGCAAGATAATAATAGGTTTGTTCGTAGCACAATTTCTAATTGATTGGAAAGTCGTTTCATAGTCGTTCACGTTAAATAATGCACTCACATGTCAATAAATTTGCTTGCAATATTTGATAAGTGCGCATGAAATTTTCAGTTTGAAACCAGTCAGAAACGATTCGACAAAGTTGTGCAAGCAAACCTTGTATTTTAAATATTTGTTTTGTTAGTTATTAGCTATATTTTTTGCGTTAATATAATCTCGAAGTTACTATCTCAATGTATCATTATTCTATGATTTAGTTCTTGAAATAACTTACATTGAAAACTTATATATAGGTGTACATAACAAAGCAACTCTTTTGGCACAAAGAAACACAATACAATAGTCTGTATAAATTTTGTATTTTTTGAAAATGTTGGGTTCTTTGTAATCTAATGTAAATTCTTTCATTAAAGTACTTCCGCGACAAAATTGTTAGTAACTTCATCAACTGGTTTTAAAATTTCTAAATGGTGTGGTCAAGTCTTCAACGTCGAGTTACTTTATTATACTTGTCATTGTATAAAGTGACAAGGATTTTTTAATACACAATAAACTTTCTATATAATGTAGAAGGTGTTATCAAGTGTTAAGACTTTTGGAATATTTTAATTGAGCTGAATTTATCCAGGTTGTACGTCTTGCTTTATCATTGTTAAATAATTGGAATGTCTTGCATTTCCTTTTGCATTTTATTACTTTCAGCGAAATTGACTCAAACTTATGTGTTGTATAATCAGTGTTATTAAAACTTGATAAATTACGTTTATTAAACTTCTATCTGCGCCTATTACAATTACCTCTAACTATGTCTTGTTTAACAAACATTTTGGAATAAGTATATAAGAATTAAAAATGTTACCGTTGTATTTATTGATTTAAGTTGGACAGACGGGACATATCCCACGAACACTTAATAATAGAGTTTATTGTTAACAACTTTATAGAAAGCTAACGTGTCGAGACATGCCCTATGTTGACAGAGTGATAAAGAGTTAAATGTTTGACAAGCGCATTCTAAGCGGCGTTGTGTATTTACTTTTAAAAATTTCTTTGAATTATTTTTAATCTGCTAATACAAATTTGATATACCAGATTAAATTTTGCTACAAAAATATATTGCGCTGCTATTACGAGTTTTGCGACATAAACCGAAAAACATTTCAATTCGTTTACAAAGACGTTGTAACAATGAAGTCTTTACATTGGGATGTTTTAATACGAATGCATTCAATATATTATTAGTTTCGTCAGCATACTTTAATATCATGCTGATGAAGTTAGTAATATTAAGGAGCGATAACTATGATTCATTTCTTGATAACTTCAGGAAATGAATCTTTATCATATTCCACATCTGATGCAGGACTAAAAGAATTTGTGTCTACAACTTCGAAAAATAACGACAAATTGCCCGAACTTTCTGGGGAAGTAACTGGATATTTAAAAATAAAAAAAGTTATAAAGTAAGGCCGTGGAATATGTTTTATTTGGTTCGTCCTGGCAGAAAACATTGCTCATGTTAACTCTGGTAGAAGGTTTTTAATTGTAAAAATAGCATTTTGACCACTTTGGATACTTGATAACCAAGAGTCAGATTGCATCCATAAGTGATTCTCCTACCCACAACATACGCAATCTTGTTTCCTAGCGATATAATATTAACACCAATGAGCTGGCAGTTCATAACATCCAACATTACCACTACTGCTTTGGTAGCAAAAAGCGTAATCAAGAAAGCATCATACTTCAATGCCATTTTTACATCAAGTATAAGATATATTACTTCAGGTAGTGTTAGTGTAGATATTTCCGAATCTCTCATGAGTAGTATGTCGTACCTTACTTATAATTATTACTTATATAACAATAAAACTTGTAACAATAATATCATACTTAAATGTTTTTGCAAATTAATATTCCCTTGCTGATATATTTAGTTATAGATACATACATTTTCTTTATTTTTATTAAATTAAAAACTCTTTAAATATTGAAATAAATGCACTAAAAATACATTAAGTAGTAGCTGGTATAAATTATGTCAAAATAGAGGCAATAATAACATTTAGTCTAAGCAGTCCTACATAAAATAAAATACAACCATCCATAATTAACACCCACCTTATTTATTAATTTTTAATCACATTTTGTTGTTAATTTTAATAATTTACTTGTTACTTTAGTTTAAATAATTTATTGTGCTTCAAAACTGTTGCAAATCCATAATGCAAATAACGTTTAAACTTTAAATCCGCTTTCTTCAATAGATTTTACACTTGTAGCCCATAGTTTTTTAGATAGGACTTCGCAAAATTGTACTTTAGACTCAAATTTATCACAATCTCGGTAAAATCCGCCAGATTCATCGCCTAAGTTGGGTTCGGTAGCACAATAAATTGCAGTTTGAGCTCCCTAAAATTAAAAAAAAAAATTAAGTCATGAAACGTACTTAAATTCTATAAGATTAATTTATTTTATGTATGTACAAGGTGATTATATCTATGCAACAACAATTAGGAGGCAACTCTTTGTTGAAATTGGGCACTTTAGTCGGTTTAATGGTGGTTTTATTATTTTATTTTAATGGTTCATTTTGTTAAAAATCTTAATGAAAGAAATGGAGTGAGTTTGGTGAAAATATTCAAAATTCTAGTGCTTAAAAATATCCCGCAATTTCGATTTGTCAAATATAAGTGAGCTCCCGTGTTTCAGAAAAATAAGTGTTTTGGCTAGTTTTAACCCAATAATTAATGTTAGGTGTCTCTATAAAACATCTCTATTAAGGTTGCTTTCCGGTTTCTGTAAAATGATTAAAAACAATAACATTTTCTTATAATTTTTTAAAACTACCAAGATTATGTATCCTGATACCTGTATCATGATACCTTTCCAGTATTTAATGTATCTGTGTCTGATGATATAATTTCCTACGGATTTCTTACTTCTACTCTCTAACTGTAAGCTTATCACTTTTATTAAAGATTAACACTTTGTTGATGATTCTAGCATCGTTGACGAGGACTTACTCCGTGAATTATGAATATATTGTTAGAAAGTATTTACTGGTATTTGCTATAAGATTTAAAAAGGATATAAAATGAAACAAACATCATGTTGAAAAAGAATACCTAAGTAGATATACCACTTGGAAAACTCTGCATTTGTCTGTAATTAAATGGCTGCAATTAAAAATAGTCAACCTAACCCATTCAAAAAAGAAGATGTAAATAGATTCGAAGACCATTTAAAAAATACCTTTAATATAATGTAGAAGAAAACCTCAATGTATATTTAACAAAACAAGAAATGCAATTCAAAGATAATATTAAATTTGCTCTTAACACTTAAAACGTAGTTATAAAATATATTGTTATGCTATAACCAGGCTTTTTATGGTCTTTAAGACAAATACTACCTTCTTTGTACTTACACGTATGGTCTTCTTCTATTCAATAATGTTACATATTAGACACTACGTATACTTTACAGTATAATATCTAAAAAATGCTGTAATTTCTTTTTTAATGTTGGAATTTTGGATGCTTTCTTGCCAATGGTTTCTTTCAATTCTAAACTGACATTGGAGGCGTTGAAAAAAGTTAGCAGGCTGTCTTCACAATGTAACAAAAGTTTGTCTTAATACAGACGAAGATCCAGAAGTAATTAAGACACCCGTCAATTTGGCAGGATTCGCAGCTTAGCTGGCTATTTTTAATTTTAAGCCTTCAGGGTACTTTTGATAATCCTATGAATCCATAGAGAAAGCTCTAAACGTACAAGGAATCCGTCCATCGACAAGTAATTGGTGTATAGCCATGCTGAAAAGTCACTTCCACAGCCACTTTGGGTGGCGAGTCTTTGGCTCTTAAGGCAGTTAGAGGATGCCCCCAAAGGTGCTTTCACATTTCTACTAGGCACCATACACTTAGTAGTTGACGACCTGTTGAACATCCTAACAGAGAATGGATTCATGATTCAGAGATATGCAGATGACCTGGTAATCGCAATCCGAGGTATACAACGTGTCGCGTATCTTCCGCATCAGAGCATTATACGGTTGTAGGATACATTCTTCTGAAGCGATCTTTCTAATAAAGTTTTTTCGAAATGTTTATAATAACCGCACAGAATAATGTATTCTACAACCGTATAATGCTCTGATGCGGAAGATACAGGATACGCTGTATATGGTACTATAATAACTCAATTAATGCAAACTGGTCTACTACATACTAACACCTGGTGCAGGAATAATGAGTATCAATCAGAACAAAGTAGAAATAGTCCCAGAGAGCACCCTGCTAGAGCTATTAACCTCAAAACAGAGGTAAAATACCTAGGAATAATACTAGACAGTACATTAAACTGGAATTCCCACATCGCCAAGGTGAGGAAAAGGGCCATCATGGCTAACCAGATCTGCCATAGGCTCCTTGGATGAAACTGAGATTTTAAATGATGAATAGGTCACTGGGCCTATGTGAATATAATGTAATATAATGGGTGCAATGAGATCTTGTCGACGGCTGCTTTTGAAGCCCTACTCGTCTCATACGACTTCACTTGTACATACAAAAAGAGACAGCTTTGAGTGCCTTATCACTGAAGAAATGCTCTTCACTCAGACTAATGCAGGGTAACCTCAGAGGACACCTCGAAACTAGCCATATAAGGTCATGTTTAGAAGCAGTGAAGAAAGGACGGAGGGTGAGGCTCAATTCAAAAGAGAAACCTTTGCCTAGTACACCAACAGTTGGATCTGGAGTAGGTATGGGCATCTGCGAACCAAAAAGCCACATTAAGATGCCCTTAAGGTTGGAAACAACCATTGTTCATAGGCGGAAGTTCTCGTCATACACATCCGCACCGTTTTGAACAAGACTTTGGAGCAAAATTAAGATTCATTGAGGACCTACATCTGCCCTAAACCTTTGGTAGGCGTACCTTACAAACAATAGATCTTGTACGTTGCAGTGACGAGAGGGGCCGCCCCCGTTATCATTAATAATAATAATAAATATAGTAAAGAAAAGAAGATTCCCAAAAACAATAATAATTCTTCTAGTCACAATTCAATTCTTACTATTGTTGAAGTGAATTCCTTAAAGTTGTAGAAACTGCATGTAAACCTGTTATCTACCCATTCAAAACGTAAGCTATTTTAAGCTATTTTAAGTGTGTTTTTAGTTGATGAGCAAATATCACAAACTTTCATGCCACACTAGTAATCTATATAATTATTTTTTACTTTCATTCTTCAACAATCAGCTTAATATCAATAATTTTTCTTACTAATCAATCAGCACTAGTTAAAAGTTACCAATATAACCCTAATGTGTGTTGCTCTAATACTTTGTCATTATTATATTAATATTTCAGACCAATTTATGTAGGTACAACAATAAAAGAATCCAGAATAACTAATTAAAAATGCAACAACAAAGAGTCGCCCCTTAAATTATCTATGATTACTATTTTTTAAATACCTGATTAGCTGTCCTCATGTATAAAAACGCCACTGGTAAAATAAAAACAAAATATTTTACAATTCTTTTCATATTATGTCTAAATAAAGAAGTGAAAACCCAACCAGGACACACAGCATATACATTAATTCCTCTATCCTTTACTTTTTTACTTAATTCTTTGCAAAAATACATGTTCATCAATTTGGAATTGGCATACAAATTTTTTGTGCCAACGATTTTATCATAACTATCAAATTCTATGGCTCCCTTTTGATGCAATAGTGATGATACTATCACTACACGGCTAGGATTTCCATTTTCAATCTTATCCAACAATAAATTGGTCAAAAAGAAATGGCCCAAATGATTAACACCAAAGTGAATTTCGTATCCATCTTTTGTTACTGCATCAGAATCATCTGGGTATGAGACTCCAGCGTTATTTACTAATATGTGTATTTTGTCGTATTGTTGGTTTATTTTATCAGCAAATTGTTTTATGGAAATTAAAGAAGCTAAATCTAACTCCATAAATACCTGAAAAATATTAATTAAATAATTACGATTTTTATATTAATTAATTAGAGCAATTACCAAATCTTGTTTAGCATTAATTTCTTTTTCAATTTTAAGTATTGCGTTTAGAGCAGCATCCTCACTCCTGCAGGCTAAAATAACTTTAGCACCACGTTTAGAAAATTCCTTAGCAATTTCATAACCAATACCACAATTTGCTCCAGTCACAATAACTATTTTACCCTGTAAAGACACCTTATTTTTGCATCTTCCCCATTTACTTTCTCTATATTTTCTTAAGCTGTATAGAATTATAGCAGCAGGAATGGCATAATAGACAAAGGTTGGAACGTAAGGAACCATTATGTTATAAATTGCTCAAAGTTTTTACTGCACTTGAAGAATTAAAAACTTATAATATCACTGTGCGTTAATTTAATGACTTGTAAATTGTAATACACAATTTATGCGCATTTTAAAACATTTTTTGCGATTGAATTGTTATTTAGGTTCGATTTTTGTTACAATATGTTTATTTTACAATAGATGTCGCCATTTGAAACGTCAAAGTTGAATCACTCGTTTTATCATAAAAGAAATAATTTTATTGAAAATTTTAACCAAGCTATAATGTTGTATAATTTATAACATCTATATTTATCATTATTTTAATATTTTTTATTAAATTTAAAAATGAGATGGTAGCTCCATCTATTTAAATAATAAGTAATTATTGTCAAACGTCAAATTCATGTCAAAATTTTGAGGTTATACCGACAGCCGCTACGAAGTGCCGAAGAATTTCGTCGTATTTCAATAAAAATAATAATCGTAGTTGTTTGTTAAACATAATTTATTAATATGGATGATTTATTAAAATCTTTAGATGATATGGGGTAAGTTAAAAACTTTATTATGGAATTTCCATGATATGATCCTTTTTCGTCAGTTATACAGGGGAATTACTTGATGCAACGTTATTAGAAAAAGCTTTAAACGATGGCCCTAAAAGCATTGAATATACTAAATTAATAGAAGAAATAACAAGTAGCTTAAGAGATTTGTGTAAGATTGATGAACAAGTCAACGCTATATCAAGTCCTGAGGATTCTGCAGCTTTTTTAATGGAATTAAGTTCATTTTTAAAGGAGTTGGGGTGTCCCTATGAAAGTCTTACCCATGGACATATCACAGATCGCTTGTCTAATGTAAATGAATGTAAAATTCTGTTGGAGTACCTCATTACAGAATTAATGGCTGCCAGAATTATTGCAGATAATAAACCTGATGAAACAATATCATTAAAAATTGTAAGATAAAAAAGGTGATATTCTTTTCAAATTTAAAGTTGTTTATTTTGTAGAAAGAGAGTACTGAAGCTTTGAACTTGAAAAAGATCATGCTACGTTTAGGTCTACCTAAACCACCTGCAAATTTAAAAATTTCCAATATGTTTATTAGAATTACGCAAATTATTGAGACAGCAATTAAGAAAAATGGTGCGGATTTTATTGGTAAACCTATATTTAATTTACCCTTAAGTGATAAACAATGGCATGTATTAGAACAAGTGCAGAAAGATCTTCATGTGGAATATACAATTCGAAGGCAAATGTTACTCAAGAGATTAGATTGTACTGTACAATCATTTCAGGTAAGAATCTTTTTTCATTTAAGCAATTTTTAACAATTCTATTCATTTTAAGTGGTCTGATAAAATGAAAGGTAGAGAAGATCAAATTACAAAGACTTTTAATGAAACTCGAAAGCAATTAAAAATAGAACCTGATGTGCACATTTCTGATTTGTTAAGTGCCCGAGAAGATCTTGCCATAATAGAAAAAACTAGTAACGCCTCCGTCAGAAAACACACAAAATCATCAATAAATAAAGTAATCATTGGTCAAGTACCAGATAGAGGTGGTAGAACGAATGAATTAGCTCCACCACCACCAGAAATGCCATCTTGGCAACAACGTACACCTGGTCCAAGTGGCGGCGCTCCAAGAGGTGGTAGAGGTGGTGGAGGACGTGGAAGAGATCAGCATCATGGAGGAATGCAAAGTAATGATTATAATCGTGGCGGTGGAAATGATTATAGTAGTCAAAGAGGTGATTATAATAACCAAAGAGGTGGTGATTATAATCGTGGAGGTAGAAGTGATTACAATAATCAAAGAGGAGGTAATTATAATCAAGGTCATAATTACAATCAAGGAAATTATCAATCTCAATCAAGTTATGATAATAGACCGCCAAGTAGTAGTAGTTATACTAGTTTTGATAGCGCTGGAAGCTATGGCGTTTATCAAGATTCAAAGCGACCGAAAACTTATGATAACTTCCAAACTCAAAAACAGGGTTATGCAGATCAATATGTCCAGGAAAGTCAACAAAATCAGCAGTATCATCGTGGAGGTGGTAGAGGAGGAAGAGGTGGGCGCGGAAGATCTAATTACAATCGAGGTGGATACTAAAAGGCTGATGTTAAATATGGTGAAAATGGCACCTGAAACTTATATATTTTTTTTTGATACAATTAATTTTTTTGCATAACATTATTACAACGCTTATTTGTTTGTGTTTATTGATTTAATATGTGTATGCAAGTTATTTAACGTGATATTAATAATTCATTAAATTCTGTAATTGATTACAATAAAAATACTTTATTTGAAAGAAATAACTTAGTATAGTTCATAGAATATTTGTTGAACCAAAGTTGTCAGAGATTAGATAATGAATAACTTACTACTGTAAAGCCATAGTAGCTGTCAGTATCAACGCTGCGCCACCATGGTCTTTTAAGGAGGAGATACACTTAGATGAGTAAAAATAACTGAGTTTTCAAGACTCTTTCATTAGGGTGCAATTAATTTAATAAACATGCTACATACATACTATAATATACAGGTGTCACACAAAAAACGCCCCAAGCTGTAACTCTGTTATTTACATTTCGATTTTCATGTCCCAGGTATCAAATGAAATGGTTTTATAAATACTATGATTCATGCTACAAATAATTTTTTTCCAAGGCCATCTTCAATTTCAAGCGATTATTAACTTTTGTTTTTCAAATTGCTCCGTATATTTTTCTCCACGTTATTGGATAAAGATTGTTTTTCTAAATCCATTGATGTACAGGTGGACAAATTTGGGTGATATTATAGGCTATCTCAGAAACTATAAGAGATACGAAAAAAGTAGGTGCCATGTCACAGTCTCTTTTTCCGAGACTAATCCTATCCCGCAAAGAACAAATCTCTATCTTCTTTTGTTTTTAAGTTATAGCCGAAAAGTCAAATTTTAGCGATTTCAAAAAATGCTCATATTTCGTTTATTTTTGAAATTAGAGAAATGGGGTTAATATATTCTACAGGCACTTTTTTAAGTAGAATATACTGTCGTTGAAAAATTTTAAAGATAGCTGATAATTTTTGAGATTTAACATAAAGTTGTATTTTTTTAAATACAAACTATAGTTGATTATGATGTTATTGAAAAGAGCATATTTTTAGCTTTCCAATGATGTTTCTGATTTGATCGCACGCATGATGTATCTGCAGAAAATAAGCGTTATTTTTCAATTTGAAAATATTAAGGATAAAAATTAAAATTTTTAATTATAGCGGCGAGGAAAACGCTAAATGCTACTTAGTTAGTTTAGTTACTATAGCAACGTTAGTTTACTTGTCATTTCATTCATGAATTTGACGGAACAAGTTTCCCGTTTAAGAAGTTCCGCATTATCTTTAAATAAAACGATAAAATTAAATATAGAATATATTGGAGTCCGCTTTGAAGATGATACATAAGTCTTCATATCCCCATTGAAACGGTGTTTCAATGAAAAGTCCGCTCAAAGTTTATGATCCCTAATGTTCCTCTATCTCACCCAATTTCAAAAGAAAAGATTGCTGATATCAAAAAACTTCTAAATCTTATATTTGGGGAAAACTGGGAAAATACTACCGAAGATTTCATTCATTGATTACGAACTGTTCTAACCTTACAACCAGAAGTTTAGTAGAAGAAGATGACAGTTTGTGCTTGTTCAGTTCTTGAAGTTGTCCATAGTTAATTATTCATTAATTAATATATTTTTTATTGGTGAACAAAGTCAGGGATAAGATGCTGAGAAATTTAAATTAACTATTCAAAGTTTTTATTCGTTGGTACAAAGTCAACTTTATTCTGTCATATTCGTGCAAAACCATATATTATAGCCACTAGGTAGTATTTATTGTCCGGACCCGCCTACTATAATCAAAATTTTGAACCATGGCGCTTACTATTTTGGAATTGAAAATTAACGCTTATTTTCTGCAAATTACACAATACATGCGATACATCATTGGAAGGCTAAAAGTAAGCTCTTTTCAGTAACATCATAATCAAGTATAGTTTGTATTTAAAAAAACACAACTTTGTGTTGTATCTCAAAAATCATCAAGTATGTTTAAAATTTTTCAACGGCAGTATATTCTACTTAAAAAAATGTCTTAAGAACGTATCAACCCCATTTCTCTAATTTGAAAAATAAACGAAATATGAGCATTTTTTGAAATCACGAAAATTTGACTTTTTGGCTATAACTTAAAAACATAAGAAGATATAGGTAGGTTTGATGCTTGCGGGATTGGGTTAGTCTCGAAAAAAGAGACCGAGACATGGCACCTACTTTTTTCTTATCTCTTATAGTTTCTGAGATATCCTATAATAACACCCAAATTTGCCCACCCAGTATAGTACATCCATTTTGAACGTAATTTTAGCAGAGAAAAGACACTTGTATATACATAGATAATTCAATAGTTGTAGATAAAATATTTTGTCCACGACTACCTTATAATATATACCTTATGAAGGAGTTTTCTAAAACAAAATGGTAGTCATTTTTCACGGAGTGAATAATAGCGGTGAATAATAATCATTATCCACGGGTAGCCATCTTGATCAGACTAATAATAATTATTTGAAACGTTAAAAGTTCAAAAAACGTCAATTTAATTCAATTTTTTAGGAGTTTCTAAATGTTTGACATAGTAAAAACCTAAACAAATTCCTTGTTTCGTATGATTTAAGCATCAATTAATTAATTTCTGTAAAGAAAACGACGTTTTATAAAACTGACATTTAATTTTGACAAATTGTTGTGAAGTTGGTTACAGTTACATTGAATTTGGGTCACATTGACGTTTAACCTTTATTCAAAAATTATTACATTATACAAGACTTAAGACTTATTACAAATAGCTACAAAGGCAATAATTTTGTATAATTGTTTCTTTACGCGGGTTCGTCCGAATTATCTCACACGAAACGAGTTCGTCAAAGAATAAGTATAAACTAAACCAAACTTCACTCTTGCAACCGTCCTATAGCGTTTTAGAGTAGAACCGGGCTTTGGCGACGCTAAGTCGTAAAGACAGATGTTGCATTACTCGCACGAAACCGATCGACAAATGTAAAACTTCTTCCCTCTTTGTTCTTCTCTTGCTACAGGCTCCCCCTCTGGTTCACCATTTTACGCCCTCGTTAGTGGACCAGCATTTTTCTTGGGTCGCCCTCTTCTTCTTTTTGGACGCTCAGGGTCCGGCACATCTTCGACACCCTGTCTCCCCCTAAACGGGACTAGATCCTTGACATGGTAACATCCCACAATGGAATTAGGGTCACTAGCACTAACTAGGTCGTAGCTCGCTGAGGAATGCGCCCGTAGGATTTTATATGGACCGTCTCGTCTAGGTTCAAACTTGCCGCTTCTCCCCATCTTGGCATTGCTGAGGAGATGTGTCGTCACCATTACCAAATCACCCTCTTTATAAACGGGAGACTCTCTGCGTTTAATATCAGCATACCTTTTGGCATGATCTTGTCGTTGTTCTATTTTATCTCTAGCGTCGAGCAACGTATCTGCTAACTTTAATAATTGCGGAGTTATCTGGGGCACATAATTTTCTGCTTCCACAATCGCTCGCAGATCTCGTGTTATATCGCCAGGAGATCGAAGCTCTCTTCCAAACGTTATATAAGCTGGAGTCTTTCCAGTTGATAAACTGTTAGCCGTATTCATAGCGAAGCGTATACTGGGAAGTCTATCTACCCAATCGCAATGGTCCTCGCCAACTANGGTAGGAAATGACTCAAAAGATGTGTAAATGATAAAAAAAAAGTGCGGAAAAGTGTAGTACTTACCGAAAAATCACTTTAAAGTTGCGATTTGACGTTTCTTTTTGGAAGTTCAAAGCAATGTTAAATATGCATTTTCGTATTAAATCCTAACCTGAAATTGTTTAATTTATACCCACGCACAAAATAAAAAATTATTTTCACTAAACTTATTGAGATTACAACATATTTTCGGATGAAAACCTTATTTCTTAGGCTATCAATGCATAACCACAATTACCTGTCGTTAGATAGAATTGTAACAATAATAAGTATTATCATAAAATTATTTATTAAAAATTGCATGATAATACAAGACTAGTTTTTCTTAAACATCAATAAATAAAATACCAAATTATAATAAAACCTTCAATTTCTTTTAAAATATGACATAATTGCACCTTTACCTTTATTATTATTGCCTGCAACTTTTACACTTAGCTTTGGAATTATTGAATTCAACTCAGAATGTAGTTTCTTTGCAGCATGGTAATCTAAATGATCCATAAAGCTGGCCGAAGGAATTTTTTTGTTGCACTCTGGACATGTTTTTGTTGGCCCTTCAATGTCCTCTTTTGCGGAAGCTAAAAACAAAGCCAGTTTGTTACAATGTGATTCTGGTTTGCGCTTATTTTTTTTATTTTGACCGTTTTTATCTGGATTCTTTACAGGTTTAATCGGTTTCGAAAGTATGTTATTTGTTTTATTTTCTTTGTAAAGATGAGCTTCTTCTTTCACAATTTTTAAAGCGAAATGGTAATCTAAATGCGAAGACATCTCTGACAATAAAATTTCTTTATTACATTCGGGACATAATTGTTTTTGAGGATCTTTAAAATGTGATTGGTTATTTCTGTCTGTTAATATTGGAGATTCTCTATCAATATTTATTTCTAATGGGAGAACTCCTAAATCATTATTATTCGAATTAACAAAATCATTGTTTTTATTTTCGTTTTCTTCTGTTATTTCAATAAATGATTCTTCTAGATTTTTTGAGGTGTCAAAATTTCTATCTTTACTAGTACTTGGAGTTGTAATATTATCAAAAAAAGTTGAAAAATACGATTGCTTTTTTACTGGTTCTTTTCTTGGAGTTATTTCTTCAGTTATTGAATCATTGGATCCATTCAAATTTGTTTCATGTATAAGCTTTTTAAAATCAGCATCTGGGCTGGTAAAGTTTGTGTTAAAAACTATATCATTTCTTTTAATATCTATAACAGGAGTTTTATTTAAGAATATTCTGTCATCAATATTAGTTTTTATTTCTTCATCAATTGAATCATTTTCTAAAATATCACCAAAGTCCATTGTTAATGAATTTTCCTCCAAACTTAATTGCTGCATTTTATCATTATCTTTAGTCACAAAACTTAATATATTAGATGTTCTTTTTGGAGTAGAACTCGCCGGTAGATTTTTATTACTTTCATTACTCTTATTAAAAAAACTCGTCAAATCATACGTTTTTTTGTTGTCTTCAAATTTCCCCGCACTAACCCCCATAAACTTAATGCAATAGGAACCATCTTCTTGCATACAATTTTTATTTATAATGTTTAGCATATCAGCCGCAATTTTTTCCGATTCATATGAATTTAAAGGATGTGTCCTTGAACTATGAACATCTTTTCTGTTTATTTCTTTAGCAAAACTAACCACCATTTGTTTGGCTTTTCTGTTATTTTCTTGGATGTCAGCTGCTAAACGTTCAGCTAATTCTTCAGATAAGTCGTTTATCCAGTGAGATACATCATCGAATGTTATTAAAGCTGTTCTACCTGGGAATTTTTTACAACATCCTATTGATTTAGACACTAATCTTACCGTTACTGGTTCTACATCGATTCCTCTTGCTATATTATACAACCATGAACTGTTACATAAAAAAAATAATAATAAAACAATTTAATTCTTTTATTTAACGTACCCAGTTTTTTCATCATATCTTTGAATGAGATCTTTTTCATCAAATTGTTTTAATTCTGCCATTGTGGATATTCCGAGATCATCGCCCAAAATTTCCCCAAATTTTCCACCTAAACTTTTTATTTTTCGAATCGGTAAGTTTTTATAAAGTTCATCAACGCCACATTGTGGCAAAATCGTTTGTTGATTAGGTTTGTGCAATCCGCAAGATAGTTTTGCTAAAATTTTATTATGGGCTATTCCCGCTGAACACTTATAACCTACAATTTAATAAAAGATCGAAATTAATCAAATCATATTAATAAAAAAAGGAATTTTAAGTTGTCTGCTTTTATTTATTGTTACATTTCCTTCTAATTATGTAATCTGTAAGATATCGTTCACATAATAAAGAAAAATTTTCAGCAACAGAGAACTACTATGGTACAGCACAACATGTAACACATAAAGCCGCAAAATCTTCCCAGCAAATTCAAATAAGTCAATCCAGTGCTTAAAAAATCCCGAAATTCCATTTCTATGCATTTCATTAATTTTTTTAACGTAAAATTTAGACATCTATTGATATATTTATTGTTTGACAGACGTTTAGAATAGTAGGGATTGGTGGATGTTGACAATCTGTGGTGGCAATGTTGTTTTGGCAAATCACCATGGGAAGTTACACGATTGAGCAGCACTATCAAATGATGAAATATATCATAAAAGTGTAAGGAGAACCCGAGACAGTCGATTCCTTATCATGCACAAGGCGAATTTGGCGTGGGGACTTGGGCCTACCCGGACAACACCCAACTAACCCAGGAAAAACAATGGTAATAACCATAGACAATACTGATTGTTCGTTGAGATGGCTTCGGAATATTTGGAAGAGGAACCGAGTTTTGGCCGACTCGGGTCCTCTTCCTCGTCTTTAACGACGAGACGCATTTTTGAATGAATGACTATGTGAACAGGCCCAATTCTGGCCCATGTGGGTTGACGACATGAGGTTTACCAGGTGACAATGTATCCACAAAAAGATACCGTTTGGTGCTCAAATTCAGTCGGATCTACAGATTGATTCGGGAGGATATGGAAATATTTTAAGGACATGTCCATTAAGCAAAAATAAGCAAAACTCGGACTAGAACGTATGGGGTTAACGTTCTAGACCGATTTTTATTTGTTTCAGATATAATTAGGTTTTTCTTTTTAAAAAGTTGGGTTGGAAAACACTAAAACGGCAAGGTTTAAACGCTTTGCATCTGCAAAAAGGACAAAATCTCCAAGGAGGCAATTATCCATTAAGACTTCAATTTTGTCAATGGATTCGTGAAAACAGAAGATTACTCAAATGCATTTTGTTTACTGATGAAGCTTAATTTACTCGAGATGAAATTAAGAATTACCAGAATAATCATCAATAGCCAGACGAAAATCCTAATGCCCGGCAAGGACACAATTTCCAACATCAGTTTAGTATTAATGTATGGTGCGGCATTCTAAATGATCAATAGTTTGTCCTTTTGTATTGGATGGCCGTCTTACTGGGGAAGGTTATTTACATTTTTTGGAAGACCATTTAGAGAAAATATTGGACAAAGTACCTTTAAATATTCGACGTCGTATTATCTTCCAACATGATGGAGCGCCTCCTCATTATTCAGAAATTTTCTGTGTTTAGTAATACATTTTTCTTCACTTTTTGAATTACTATTGTTCAAAATATCTCTGAAATAAATGAAAATTGGACTTGAACATATGGGCTTATATTGCTTATTTTTGCTTCCTGGACATGTTCTTAAAATATTTTCATTTCCTCTCGATTTACCGTGCATATGCCGATACCGTGTGAAGACAAAGAGTACATTTAAACGATGTTATATTCCATGCATAATGCCACACATGGGTCTTTCAAAGAAAAAATGAGTTTAGTATTTAAAAACTTTGTTACATGTTTGCTGCCGCTATTCAAAATTTCTCATAAATGTTGATAATATCAACATTTTTGCTCCTAATGTGTTAAACTGGCGCTTTTCGGTACTTGCAAAGGTAACTTAGTTTCTGTTATTGCATCTTTGTACAAGTTCTTGTTGAGCAGCAATTTAAAAATGCTCTATTCTTTGTATTATCAAAATCATCGCTTTTTCTAAGTTCATGGTTTCACGATTCAGGTTCATGAGCTACATATTATATTAATTAAGTTACATTGTCATATTCTATTATACACTATAAGCGGCCGAATTTTGCCATTTATTAACGATAGGATTACAGAAAGTTTTCAAAACAAACCATTCCGACGATACTGGAAGCAATATTTTCTTGCCACAAGTAGTAATTTTCAAGTTCCTAAAGATAGTTTTTCAAAATAGTTCATTGAGAAATGAGGAGAAATACTACGTATAAAATAGCATTTATTCACGTTAATCTTATGCTGATTATGATGATAATATTTCATGAAAGTACGTAATGCCATACCAACCACATATGCTAATATGTTGCATAAAAACTTGTTCCACAGATTATTTATAAATTATAGCAATGAACTCAAACACCAAATTTGGCAGTAACCTCTACAGCAAATTCTGTGGACAAATGTTATGTATTTATAGTACCCAACGCAGAGAAATTATACAACTTTGACAGGAAAGGGTTGGCAGTTAGGTGTCATGATAATATCCCAGAGGTGGGGAACCTGCGGCCTCCATTAGATTGTTGTGCAGCCGTCATAAAAAGCTAACTCTTGTAAATTTGAAAATTAATAAAGAACGATGAAGCCCCACAGAATGTAAAGCAATAAGACTACTATTTTCTGTAACATGCTTGCAGGCTTGCTTAATTCCGCAACCTTCATATTGTAACAAATTTGATTGGGAACCTTTCATAATCTGATGTTTAAGTATTATTGTGGAGAAAAAAAATAGGATAGTATTCTTTTTCTAATGTAAACTGATCCTAGATAATTCAATTTTAAATAAATCAGTCCTAAATGTAAAGCCAAATTCAAGCAACTAAATCTTATAGAAAAAAGTTTACTTGATTTTTGGATTTGTCCATTTTCTTTCTGCTCAAGACAGTATTTCAATTTATCATACTCTACGTCACCCGAAACGTTACAATAATATGAGAGGTGCACCTTCTATGAAAGAGAAAAAGAGGGCATCACATCTAGCCTTAAAAACATTAATGCAAAATTCATAATTTCACAAGACACTCTGGATAGAGCTATTGCAATTGTCAACTATATTCGCGTAAATATAATCATCGTTAATTTCGGCAAATGCTAACTTTAAACGAGGAAACGTACAGTGTTGATCTACCGTACTACTGCAAGGTTCGTTGGCTGGCTACAGGATAAGTTTTCATCACAATTTTAAACTTTTATCAAAAACAAGCTATGTGATCTATCAGACGAATCATTTTGGAGAAACATTACATTTTTGTCTGATATCATGACAAAGCAAAACAATTTAAATATTTACCTGCAAGGTAAAACGATTCACATATGTATGTCGCAGGTAAATGGTTGTTTCACATAAATAGCTTTTTCCTAGGCAGATAGTATCTGACTAGGAAACTGCAAATAGTTTTATTTCATTTATTTCAGTCTAAATTCTACTTTCCTAGGCAAATAGCATATGGCTAAAATATTTTCAGGCAACTAGCTCTTTAAACTAGGCCTCGGAATCGTATTCGAATAGTCGAATATGCGTAATTCGAATAATTTTCATAATTTATTAGCCGAAAAGTCAAATATTTGAATAGTCGACTATTTGAATATTCGTTAAAAGAAAATAATAATTTAGTTTATTGGATACAATTTTTTGATCCATTTTTTTCCAATTTTTTAATGTAATGACGACGATTGTTCGACAACTATTCCACTAGTCGAATTGTTCGACTATTCGAATATTTAAATTTGTAAAATTCCGAGCCCTACTTTAAACCAACCCAACCCCAGGAATGCTTTATTTCTTTAAGAGAGCTTCACAGTCACTGTTTTCTGGGCAAGGGATGTCAAAATGCCAGTGCCAGCCTTCGAAATTTCAATGCAGTACAAAAAGGTGTACTCGTTTCAAAATAAGATAACGTGCAATAGTAGATGCCATTCCGGCAATAATTGTCAAAACAAGTAAATTTTTGTATTTAGTATTTAAGTCGTCAAGAAATAAATCGTTTATTTGTATTTTTGTTAAACTTGAAAAAGTATATGAAACTGTTATGCAATTTTTGAACATGATACGCAAATAATTTGACTCGTTTGACACTCAGTAGGAGTCATTAGTGACTTTAATTTAAGAAAAGTAGGTTTATTTTATTGTGAACAGGTACCTACTCTATATTCCATTGTTGTATCGAAAAAATGGTATTTGCCTAGACATTTAATGATGAAACTGTAACGAACTACTGTTTGCCTAAGCAGACAGTATCTGACTAGGAAAAAGCTATCTACCTGAAATAACCATTTGCCTGCGCCATGTATATTAAATGTGGCAAAAGAACCAAGCGTTTGCAAAAAAAATATCTGCACAACATTTTACAGAGCTAGCAAACATTTTGAACGAGCAGACATGTTAAAATGTTCTGGATTCTTTAATCGAAGAATATACTGAAAGATTTTCCGATTTTGACGAACACACTCCTGCTTTGAAATTGGTATTTGAACCACGTTTAGTGGATATATCCGAGGCTCATGAGGTACTATGGAGTTATTTGTGTTAGGGGAAGATAGTAACCTGAAATTTCTTTTTGACGCTAAAAAGGATCCCATAGAAATCAGGAAGCACTATCTTGCTTGGAAGTACTTACTGTTGCGAGTCAACATTTTCCTCAATGACGAAAATAAAAACTAGTTTAACAACTCAAATTACAGATGCTCATTTAGAGAATCAGCAATGAGTCTGCAACCACTAAAACTGTGCAAAAAGTATAATTTTACAAAAGTCGCATTTGTAGGTGTATCAACTTATGCCCAATTTAAAGTAGCCTCCCTTTAAGTAGCCTTTCCCTTGAAAAATCCGCATAGACCATATTTACCTGACCACCAGTAGATTAGTAATCGTGGAACGACATCTAATGAACCCATTCTGGTTTGGTAACACTATGTTCAAGTGAACAATAGAGACCCAATATGTGAGCGGTTGCAATGATTGGAAAATTTTTATATCGCACAGAAGAGGTCAATCAAATAATAAGGGCAGGAAGGTCACTATCACCTTTTTCCAAAAAAGAAAATTCATTTCTTCGTGATATCTTCCTTCAAAGCGGGTGGATATCCAGGGTGTTTTAAGATAACATTTAAAGGAGTTAAAGTTATGTCGTATGATCAAAATGAAAATCAAAAGTCTTAATAAACAACAGCAACACCAGACCAAATTTATTCTTGCATTACTGTGCTATTCCTTTTGCACTATAGAAGGTATTCATAATGTAGTCTATTCATTGCTACGCAGTATCAGCATGGAAGAAAGAAGGCATGTTTTATATCAACAGATTTAAAATTTCAGCAACAGCGCTCATTGACGCAAATATGAGAGATCGTGTACTGGCGTCGTTTTGTATACTTAACTTCTTCCATTATTATGCTTAATCAGATGATCACAAAGAAACACTGTTAATGAACAGGGTCTGTCACGACAAGCTGAGTCTATATGTATATGGTTTATCAGAGGAGCTCAATTCAGCTAAAATATGTTCAGTTTTCTGTAACTTCTGGTTATACCGGAAATGGACTCTTACTTCGTTATTTTAAATGGTATGTCCTCATTTTTTTTGAATTTTCGAGATCCCCGCTAAATTTTAATATAAGTTGATATAAGTCATCAATCTAGATTGTACCATTTTTGAATTATTTCAGTTTTTTTGAAAATTTTGGCATATGCACCACTTCATGATAAGAATAATTTTTCGAAATTACATTCGAGTCAGACCAAATATTCTCATAGTTTGTACAACTAGGACCCACCCATAGCTTACACAATCTTTAAAAATTTGTTTTAAAAATTATACGTGGTCAGAAATTTGCGAAAATTCTCTATCTGAACAGTAAGACCTCACCCATAGCTTGTATCTTCGAAAGTAGCAAACTCCTTCGTTTTGATGTTAATCACAAAGTCTCCTTACTTTCCACCTTAGAATAATTTCGTTTCATATCACTTCCTTCAAATCAAAGGCAACTCATATTATAAAATTTTCAAATAATCACGATTTTCACTTCTTTTTTAAGTTTCTACAAAAATCATACATTTTAGATATAGGGATGATAAAATCCCCTTATTTTTCAGTGTACAATACGCTGGTTAAGGAAAATGTAGGGTTGCCATTTAATTTTAATTTCTGACCACCTGTATAATTTTTAAAAAAAGTTTTCAAAAGTTATGTAAGCTATGGGTCTTATTTGTGCAAACCTGAGAATATTTGGTCTGGCTCGAATGTAATTTCACAAATGCATCTGAAAAAATTTTCGAAAAACTGAAATAATTAAAAAATGGTGCAATCTAAGTAGACATATGATGACTTATATCAATTTATATTAAAATTAAGCGGGGATCTCGAAAATTCAATAAACATTGGGCCATTCCATTTAAAATAACGTAGTAGGGGTTCATTTTAGCCAATTTAGTATTTTTAGGAATTAAGTTGTGGGATCACTTTGCACACTAAGGTGTTCTACAAAGTCATAGAGGTGTCTGAATGGGTTGCACATTGACAGTTTCCCATAATTGTTTAGCCAATCTTGAAACTTCTCTAGAAAAATGTCTTTCTTTGCAGAAATTGCATTGTCTATATTTGCCAAGATATCAAGATTCAATTTTCACTAATATTTAAAGTGATGTGGAATTATCCAAGTTATCAAATGATGTCAAAGTTATAGCTCATTATCTAACTTTACAAGATAGCGAAAATTTTATGTTTCTTTATGGCAGTTAGGAGGAAGATGCAGCTTCATGATACAAATCAGATGATAAGAACAACAAACTCATATGAATTGGTTACATAAGAGCCAATTAGTTATATTGTAATGTTAGAGTTTATAATAAAGGAATTACTAATTACTAAAAGCTTCAAAATCTTAAACTAATTCTAACCTGTTTTCTTATAAACAGCCTCTCGAATCTCCTCAGCAATAACTCCTCCAATACACAATTTCAAATCTCCTTCATTCAAATCCTTAACATTGTCAACAAAAACATCCTTGTCAAAACCAGCAACATGAGTGTTAGGTAAATTGCTAACATTAGGAACATATTGTAATTCTATCCGTTTATTAACAGCCTCTGTAATATCCAAATAGGCTTCATCAACAGAAGCTCGTTCTAAAAGTGATGTAAAAGTTTGTAGAACATCAGCGACACGTTTTCCAGCATCTCGGTATTTTGTTAAATCTGCTTTTCCTCTTTGGCAAGGAACACTAACTAATTGTAACTCTGGGCATTTCTTTTTTGCATCTGCTCCTCTCATATGTCGTGTAACACCTTTGTCTCTTGCTGGATAGTTTACAGCTATAATACTGTAATTATATTTAATTAATTAAGTGGAGTACGCTTATTTTTATAATTACCCTCCTCCTTTCCATTGATTGTATTGAACAACAGCAATAGGTTTTCCTTCTAATTGAGGATTTAAGTTTTCTTCCACTTGGCAATAAAAGCAATCCATATCAACCAAAACTACGACTCTTTTATTATAATCCATTATTATTCACAATCTTAATTAGTTAAATTTATGCAAGATTGTAGATTAAATGTGGTTATAAATCCTTGGTTATAAATAATTAAATCCCGCCAATTTATTAAGTATAGAAATTATATTTGAACGTAACCTAAACATAACCTAATTAAACAGCTGTTATTGAAACATTTTCTTAATACAAAAATAATTTATTATTATTTTCATTTATATTTAAAATAACTTTATAAAAATCGTAATTTTACTCTATATGTTTTTTGTGTTAATTCTTAGAAGTGTAAAATATTATGAATTTTAATCAGTGAACGTATCCCAAAAGATAACCTAGCTTATTAATTGTCAGTCAAACGGTTTGTTGACAAAAGTAGTTGGGAAGAAAAGTGTTCATAAAATATTCTTAAAATGCCATCAAAAAAGAAAAAATACAATGCGAGATTCCCCGCGGTAAATATCTCTCGGTATGTTATTTACACAGATAATAATTTTTATTAATATTTTAGAGCAGGATAAAGAAAATTATGCAAACAGATGAAGAAGTTGGAAAAGTGGCACAGGCAGTTCCAGTTATTATCTATATCCTTTTTTGCTTTCTTTCGGTGTGCTTATTAAATATTTCATTATTATTAGAGCGTTAAACAGTGATTTTTTCAAAATAATCCCTTCTAAAGGATGGGAGTAATAACGTTTTACAAAGCAATTCATTTAATTGGATATTGTAAAATACACCATAAATGTATTTGAAATGATTAGCATTGTTTATTTTTGCAAAGCTCAATATCAATGACATTCAATATTTTCTTATCTATCACATTGCTTCTATTTTTTTTTGTTTTTTTATGTTGAAATTGTGTTTGGAAATCAGAATTATCACAGTTTTGTTTTTGAAAAGATATAGTAGGAGTAGATAGCATTTATAGAGTTTATATCATTTATTTCTGTTATCTTTTTCAGATAATAATTAAATCACAAATGTGATTACTTTTTTCCTTAATATTATTTTACCTAGAACATTAGAACTTTTCGTAGAGTCTTTATTAAAAAAATCAATGCAGATAACACAAGCAAGAAACGCAAAAACATTAACACAATCGCATATGAAACAGTGTATCTTATCAGAAAGTCGATTTGATTTTTTAAAAGACCTAGTAAAAGATATACCAGATGCAAGTGTACAAGATGATAATGAAAGTAACGTGCAGGATATGGAGATAACACCAAGAACTTATGGTACTAGACATGGAGAGGGTAATAATGATCAAGAAACCAGTACACCTAGACCGGAAATAGCAGCAAATTTTTATACAGAACAGGGTACATCAAGAACACCTGTTATTCAATATGGACCAAATGTTATGGAAAAAAACAGTTCTAAAACATACACAAATAAGAGTCACACGAATACAAATAACGAAGATGATGATGATGGGACAGTTATAAAGTCTGATTCGTCTTCTGAAAATGTACCCTCATTAATACCAATTTCGCACAATATGTACGGGCAAAGTACCGGTGATAACCTTTACATAGATGAAGATTATGATAACTAATCTTGGTAACAATAAGAGTTTTTTTATGTTCACATTATTTGTTAAGGAGATGTTGATGATTAACGGTTAAAACTAATTGACTGAGATGATAGCCACTGTAATATTTATTTTAGTGACTTTTTTTACTGTCGATTAAACAGATAAGTGTAAGAATTCTACGACGATTTAGTTTTAATGTATATAAAAATATATTATAAAAAAAACTCTCATAAATAGAGTGTTTCTAAATAGTTGAATTGGGTAACAACAATTATAAGTGTTTCAACCGTTGGATACATAAAAATGATGGCTCAAGTTTTTGTCAAAATTTTATTTTGAAAATATAGATATCTTTTTTCAAAAATGATCTCTTTTTAACCTATCTTTTCCTAAATTTTTTAAAAATGATATCGTTTTTAGTGGAAACAACAAAATACTGGTACAATTAATGAAATTACTGAAGTGGTTTTATTTATATTTGGTTATTCACTGTTTGTGCTTATTACCCAATTTATCTAATTGAAGATTGTTGCTTGGTATACAGGTGTTTCATAATATATGCGCGGGACTTCAGGATGTGCAAGTCTGTATAATGGTATGTGGCTAAATAGCTAATCAGAAGTAAGTAAACTCAAGGTTTTAACCCTCAGATGACGGATGCCTTGATAGTGTCGCGCGGGTCGATCTACATTGAAATAATATTTTTTATGAAGGGAAAATAAAAAGTTTCTTTCAACGATCTATATACAGTGTGTCCGTAAAGTAATGGATATAGGCGATAAAATCATAATAAACGGTTTATGGAAAAATCCCTGAAATGGGTCTAAAGATTTAAATTTTTTGTTCAACATTGCAATTTTTGTTGCGGAATATGAAAGAAGATTTTTTTCTGAATCTAGTACAGGTGTCCAAATTTCGATGGGTTTGCAGGGTATCTGAGTTATTATGAAAGATAGAAAATTGCGGCTTTCGCGAACCTGTGCTACTTTTTTGTGAAACTTACAATGGCGCAAACCAAGTTTTCATAGCCCTCTTCGTTTTTGATATACAGGGAGTGTTTGAAATTTACGATTTTTAGACACCTTCTGTATCTTGGCTATCCGGAAACTCAGTAAAAAAGTAAAAACGGGTTCTAATAGATTTTTTCACGTGGAATCCAATGGTGCACGTAGAATTTTTCTAGTCATCACGGTTTTTGAGTNTAGTGGAAGGAACAAAATACTGGTACAATTAATGAAATTACTGAAATGGTTTTTTATTTATATTTGGTTATTCACTGTTTGTGCTTATTACCCAATTGTTCTAATTGAAGATTGTTGCTTGGTATACAGGTGTTTCATAATATATGCGCAGGACTTCAGGATGTGATAGTTTGTCCAAAAATTTGAAAAAAAGTTTCTATCAATCCTTTTAAATGCACCATTTTCGGGATACAGGCTGTTGAAATTTAATTAAAAAAATTTGTTTTTTGCGAATATCTCCGGAACCGTTTATCGTACAGAAAACAGCTTTTGTAATCATTTTCTACTCATAATAAGTTTTGTTGAAGAATTAGTGAAGATTTTGAAGGGGTAGTGGTTGTTTTTCTCCCAAACTTCTACGCTACTGGAAAAAGTACAGTTTTGAGACGCCCATTTGAACCGTCAATGTTTTCATACACAGAAAAGGTACTGTAGGTCATGAGCTCTAAAGTTGACCGTTTTCGAGAAAAATCAACTTTTATGTTGAATAACATAGTCAATTTTTTGAAATAAAAATTTTATTTTACAATAATTAAACAAAATTTAAGTAAACGTTAAAACAAGTAACAAAAGCAAGTGTTAACTTCATAATTGCAAAATAAAAAAAATGATACAAAAGTTGTCTTTTCAAAATTCTCCAAACCGTAAAGGTAACGCATTTCGCACATTTCAGCGTTTGCATTAAAAAATAGTATATTAAAAAACAAGTTTCGTAAGACACGCTTGAAATGCACGAATTTAAGTTGAAAAACGAGTGGCGAAGCCACGAGTTTTTTTAATGAATGAGTGCTTTAAGTCTTACGAAACGTGTTTTTTATGCTATTTTTTGTAATTCGCGTTTGTATCCTTTATTTTTAACAAAAATAAAATAAATTTTGACAATGTAGGAAAATAGGTATGTATCAGTTGGTAACACCGTAACACTTGAAAATAGAAATTTGAATTGACAATTAGAAATTGTCAAAACACAAAATGTATTCACCTGAAAAAAATGTTTCATTTACACCTTCCAAAATAAATCCTCATCACTGTGGACCTTGTATTCGATGCTAAGAACGTGTTTAAACATCCGTAGACAAAAATTGTCACATTGACAACTTGAAAAATTAATGACCGAATGTCACCAACTTGAATTGGTTCCATAAAATGTTACTAAAATCTCATTACAGCATCGCATGCTGTAAGGAGTCTCATTACAGCACCCGTTTGAGTACTGTAATAGCTTTCATTACCGTCGCGAATTACAAAAATACTATTACAAAGCACTAACACGCAGGAAAATTCCCGGAGTGTTCCGCATTATGTCGTAAGATACAACAATGCGCTCTCTTAATTGGTCAACATTTTCAACTGGAGTAGCGTAGACTAGGAAAAATTTTCAGATTGCCCCAAAAGAAAAAATCTAAACAATTAAGTTCGGGAGATCGCGGTGGCCAAAGGTGCGGACCTCCTCGACCGATCCAACGGTCTGGGTATTCGTCGTCCAAGTATTGACGAGCAACCAACCTAACGTGGGCCGGAGCTCCATCATGCATAAAGTACATGTTTTGTCTTACTTGGAGCGGTACATCTTCCGGCAGTTCCGGCAGTACTTCTTCTAGAAATTGTCTATAACCTGCACCGTTTAATCTGTTCGGTAAAAAATTTAGGCCTATCAAATGATCACCGACGATGGCAGCCCAAACATTTACGGAAAATTGTTGCTGATGATGGCCTTCTGCAATTTCATGTGGATTTTCTTCTGCCCACATGTGGTTATTGTGAAAATGGAAAATACCATCCTTCGAGAAAGATGCTTCATCGGTAAACAGAACTTCGGCTCCAAACTCAGAATTTTGAGCTGTTTTGTCTTGCATCCATGTACAAAAAGCCAATCTTGGCGGAAAATCTCTTGGCAATAAGGCTTGTACTCTTTGAATATGGTAGGGATACAAAAGTTACTTTTTCAAAATTCTCCAAACCGTCAAGTGAGATAGGTTAAGTTGTGAGCAATTTTTCTGGTACTTGTGGTCGGATTTTCATCAATTTCGTTGAGGACAGCCTCTTCTACTCTTATTTGCAACTTCCATAGGCCGCCCATTGTCAGCAGTATTCCTTTTAAAACTTCCATTTTCCCATAGTCGTTGGTGAATGCGTAGAAACAAGTTATGGTGTGGTACTGGGCGATCAGGATGTCTTTCTTGATACAACCTCTTTGCTTCTGCCGAATTACCGCACGTCATTCCGTAAAGGTAATGCATTTTGCATATTTCAGTGTTTGTGTAATTCATTTTTAATTTTGTAATACAAGTTTACTGATTGTTATTTTGACAGGAGGTAGCTTTTGTTATAAAACTTGTGACATTGCAGCGTTTCGTTTCAATTCGATATTTATTGAAGTGCTGTGGGATACACAATATTTCGTGCTTGAGGTGTAGACCGGCCAATTGCTTGTCGCTTTGCAATGCGTTTGAATTTATTAGATGTCAATCAGCAATCCGATTCTCACAATGTATCCAATCCAATTGAACCGGCTGTTCACACTGATGGAAATGTTAATATTGACGGTGACCACCAATTCGCTGAGGAAAATTTGAAGTGAAAAAAATCAGCATTCGAGAATTGTCAAAAATTGGTCGTACCAACTTAGAAACCTTCGTGGGCTCATGCACAACAACTTTGCTAAAGATCACCACATGATCAAATGCATAGTTTACGATTCTATAAAGGACATACAGACAAACATTCATTTTTATATATAGATTTCCCTGGTTTTAACGGCATATATAGTACCGGTCAAAAATGTATCATATTTTTATGTAATATGTGTAACTTTTTTTCGAACATGTTTTGAACACCAGACTTTTAGACAAGAAAAACACAAGATATTTTGAAAGCTTATGCTCGGAATGGGGTCGAGGGGAGCCGTTCTGATGGTGCTGAAGCACCCCACACCATGACGCTTCCACCGCTGTGCTTCATGGTGGGCAATTGGTACTGGGGATCAAAGTGGGTGGCAGAGGGACGGCGTATCCACAACAGTTCAAAATATCAGGAACTTGCTCTCGTCGCTCCAGATAAACTGCTTCCATTGCTGTCGGGTCCAGTTGAAGTGAGTCTTCGTCCACTCCACGCGTACCTACGGTTTCTTCACTAGTCGTCGCCCAACCAGTCCAGCAAAATGTGTAAAAATTAAAACATGTCATATGTCCGAAAAAGGATTTTCGGAAAAAAAATCGATTTTTTACCTCAAATTTTGTTATTCTTGCACTAACAACAGCATTATTAAGGAGAGATTTAAGCTGAGAAATATTGGGTGAAAAATTGAGTTTGATTGGTTATTCCAAATTTTTCAAAATATGATACACTTTGGCCACAGGGGTCACCGTCCTCGATATGTAACTAGTTGTTCATCTACTGTACCTGTATTTGATGCCTCGTAAGATTCCCGACAATTTGCCGCAAACATATCTGATACTTCCCGTATAGGTGCTAATTTATCCCCATTTTTCTATTTTCCCGGGTTTCCGTGTTGTCTTCTGAACCTTACAATATCTTTGAATCTATCACTTGCCATATCCACGGTATACATCTGCTTTGATAATACATTGTCTTTTCGCCATATATCGTTCTTAATTTCATGAGATTCTTAAAAAAATCTTCCAATGAGCCAATGATATTTCTATGGAATTTACTTCTTTCCACCAGTGAGAGTTAGTAGCGTAATGTGCATTGGCTTTTTGATTGGTGTGTGTTTGAACAATGTTTGAAATGATAGTATCGTCTATGAATAATTTGAAACATTCTTCTATAGATTTTACATTTCGACTTTTATTTGTCAAAGAGCCACTTTGATGAACACTCTGTGGGCATTCAACAGATTTCGGAGCAATATATTTCCATGTACGATTACAAATCGTTTCACTTCGGATATCATCACCTGATTCCGAGGCAGTAAATATATCCACGCCGTGCATATATGGAAAGTCGCTGATGTCAGATAAAACTGGCGCCGCCGCCGAAGCGTTGGTGAACACGTTCGTCGTTTGAATAGTTATTACGCGTCCTCAAAAAAAGTCACGAAAAGTCATCAGTTTACATTGCAGATATCGAAATTGAAGAAATGCAACAAAAATTATCATAT